GGGGGGGTTATAAACCAATCTCGGTAACTATGGCCTTTTAAAATAAAGCCTTACAGCAAGGAGGTTAACTGGAAAACAACTGAAAAATGTAACTTTAATTTTTTTGTTTAAGTCTACGGTTGCCATGGTAGCGTCCGCCATATTGAAAATAAACAGCTTTCAAAGTAAAAAGGATTTTTATTTATTATATTGATGGATATACTCAACACACAATTTTACACTGATAGGATTTTGGATATCTTAAATAGGAAAAAAAGTTAGAGATGCATAACTGACCAAACCCCTTAACGATAATGGCTCTGGATTTCATTACACATTCTTCGAGGTAACTCACTTATGAAAACATCAATTTTATTTTCCATCTGTATAAATTTAGGTTATGGTATGAATAAAACGCCCTAAAAATGTCATTGGAATCCCCCCCCCCCAAAAAAAAAGATGAAAAAAAACCCATCAAAAATGAACGTTTTGAGAAAAAAACGACTTGTTGTTACATAATAGTCAAAATATGAGTTCTAGAACAGAAAATCGGAAAAATGATGCTTGTAACACAAAGAGTGAGCACTTTTTATATGTGCATGTGATTGGAGTATTATAATACGTAAAAAGTCCAGATACAACAAATTGACCCAAAATCGTCAATTTAAAACTACCCCCCTTCCCCTTAAATAACAGGAGCTCAGTTCCAACATTCAGAATATTTTGTTTTTAAACCTCACCTTTTCCATACGGGCACATACTCCACATACTCCTGATTAGCCTTTTTAGACCCCCATCCTCAAAAAGATGTAGACCTTGTCAACAAGGCTTAAAACACTTTTAACGACAGCTTTCATTGGTGGATAATTATGGTGTCAAAAGTTACACTTTCAATTTTCTGGAGAAAAAAACTATGTCGACACCGGATGGCCACTTTTCAAATAAAAACCGTGAGTACATTCAGTTCGCTACCAGAGCAGATCACTGACGCTGCACTGAGTCCCTACAAGACAAGACAAGACAAGATGAACAACGCTGTATTTATCGCCCTTTTCTCCATCCTGACTGCGACACAAGCGTGCTGCTGTGAGTATTTTTGAAAGGCTAGAACAGACGTTCTGTTAGTCTTGAGTTACAAATATTTTGAAAAAAGCTGTCTAGAACTTTAAAGTGTCTGGAAGGGCACAACGTTTTAGCAAGAAATCTGTCAATTAATGCTATGTCTTCTACTACTTTACTTACTTCTTCATTGCCATCAAGACACGATTATCACACTGTAGAATCTTATTTCTTGGAAAGGAGAGCATGTCCTATAACAATATCATGAAAGGCTCGAGGTCAAATGCTCAGACGTCCACGGAGTTAAAACGTCTTTGATCGTTATGAACAAGACTGCACCGGCGACTTAGCTGGGATTTGGTTAAAAGATAACTTACTTGGAAAAGAGGGAGGAGGCAAATTTAAACATGCGGTTATCTTGACTGCTCCTTCACACACTCACTCGTTTTTCTTTTCTTTCCTGTTGACACATTATGACTACTTCCCGGGTGAAGAAAAAGTTTAAATTATTGAATGTTACCTTTTGATGTCTAACTGAGGCCTCTGGTTGGAGGGTCCCACTGGGGGCTCCTTCTTTTTTTCATGTTGTTTATCTGGCTTGCTGCTTCTTCCTTTGTCCCTTCACCGTTATTGTGTCTATGTGATTCTCTTTACCCAGAATTGCATGAGAAAGAAATTTCCGAGGAAGCAATTTTTAAAAATTGTTTGCCCAATTTTAACTCCATAGTTGACCCGGATGTGTGCGATGTGATCAGGGTGGAAAGTTGGAGCGAAAAGTACGCCAAGAAGGTTGTGGAAGATGCCTCATATGTCCTCAACATGACGGTCGTAGATCGGCAGTCGGCGGCAGAGTGTAATCTGGGAGAATCCTTCGGCTACCAGAAAAACAACCTTTGGGTGGATCACGGCTGTCGTGCTGACTTCAAAGTTTGCTACCTTCCAGGTAGGTTTTTGTTTTACCGTACTTGCAACACCACGTCATAAATGCCAAATATTATAGGTATTACAAGAGAGTAACCAAAGCAAAAAATGTTGAAAGATAAGGACGATAGAAGTTGTGTATAGCAAAGAAGCAAGGCAGTCGCAAAACAGATTAGCAGGTAATAATAACGCTGATTTATAACGATGAGCAAAGTGTGAGTCTGAAACTTTGAACATTGTTCCTACAAACGTTCTCTTAGTGTTTTTTTCCCTACGATACCCCTTTTACGGTACCTTTTCATTAAATAAATGGTTACATCCGTTTCATGTCTTATAAAATATAGCCTTTTGTCTCATTCGACTCCCCAGTGAGCCCAATTCGGTGTCGTGTTGTGAAGGCGGAAAGTTGGAGCTACAAGTACGCCGAGACCTATGTGGTAGACGCCGCATTGTTCATCAACATGACCATTGAAGATCAGCAGTCTGCGGCCAGTTGCGATCTGGATAAAACCTTCGGCTTCTACAATCAGAACTCCACAGTGTGGGTGAATAATGGGTGCCGTGCAGACTTCAACGTCTGTTTTGTCTACGGTAGGTGTGACCTTAGTTAAGTAAATACCTTCACGAAATGTGAGGCAACCTGCATGAGCTGGGGATGAGTCGTCTTTTGGACATGGGGACATTTTGCTACCAGCTGGGTATTCTGCACTTTTAGATTTTGAAAATTCTGGAACCGATATAATTGTGAAACATCTTAAAATTGAAAAAGCAGAAATTATAAGGAAAATCGGTACATCAACATAACTTGCATTTATTAGCACAATTGTATGTCGAAGGGTACAGACAGAAAGGAGACGCATGGCTGAGGTTTTCAGCGCATCTTTTTAATGATTTAAAATGAGCGGTGCTCCCAAGATGCTTCTTGCAAACAGAGTGAGAGCGCCTTTCTGTTATTAAAACTCTTCAGTAGGTCTAGAACAATGGACGAAGAAGGTGCTTTTCTTTGTTATCATGGTTGTATAAACAGTGACGAATCTGGCATTGATACTCGGTGCACAGAATGAATCAAAGACGAAATGTGTATGGAGAGTACCACGACCTGATGGACGAAGTGCTAACGTGACGAAAGATGCATTCATTACATCAGAATAAAACCATCAACATATTAACTTCCCGTTGCTGTAGTTTCCGTAATACCTCTTGTCATAAAGGGATTTATTTCAATCGAATGAACCAATGCTCCAGTGTCCACTTCGCACGACAATGTTATTAAAATCAACTGACAATCTACACACTGCACATACTCTGGTACGTTCGAAAATTTGTAGAGCAACTTATTGTCAAATATTTTCTAAGCTATTTGGCATAGACTCTCCAGCTTCTGAACAATGATTTGTATCACTCTTTTTCAAAACACTTCACTACCTTAGAAGTTCTGATATTTTTAGCTGTTATGAGCTACTAAGACTATGAGGTCAGAAACCACTTAATGCTCAATCAGGTCTATCAAAATCGTTAGATTATTCGGAATCATTATCAACATTTTCAAAGTATTGCATTAGAAAAAGTTTAACATGATGTGATAGATCTACTCAAATTCTTTGTCGTCATATTTCACAGAACTATGTACTTAGCAGATAGAACATTGTAATTCTGAAATAACTACTTGGTACCTGTATTATAGAAACCTAATAAAAATCATTTTAGTGGTTTCCATAGATTTTAATAGGTTTATAGCTGCGGCTATATACTTTTTAAAAGCAAGTCCCTCATGTATTTGTTTGTTCTAATCGTGACATTTTACTCATTGAACGCTTGTTTTGAGAACCTCTCTTGAAAACATATTTTGTTCATTATCAAATGAATTTTTTGTAACAAGATTTGCCATTAAAGAGTCTGATTGGTGAGTTTGGACGTAGGTCTTAATATGCTGAATGTGTTTGAGAAACGAGAAGTGTTGTGAACAATCACATTTATATCGTAACAGAGATTTGTAGTATTTTATAAATATGAATTTATGAAGAAAAGCTCTTTTTGTGTTTTTTGTGGAAAATATGATGAGGTTAAATCAAATTGATACAAACTGCTATGCAAAGTATTGGTGACATTGATTCACCAGTTATAAGGATACAAATTTTTGACCGCCCTATAGACCTAGATCTAGCAGCAGTTTGACGACTAATTCCATCTCCGGTCTCCAGGCATCACCAGAATCACCACGATAAACGTGAGCAGCTGGAACTTCAAGTACTCCACCCAGATTCTCAACACTCTCCCCTCTGCCACCTGTATCTACTCCATGCAAGTGGCAAACCAACAGTCCACGGCCCCCTGCACTCTCGGGACCACTTTTGGGTTTATGGCCAATACCATGTGGGTCAGAGACGGCTGCAGAGCCGACTTCACCGTCAATTATTATATCGTTTAAGCATTCTTAAATGCTGTCATATTGTCCTATTTTGACAAGTTTTGTTGAATTAAAAGGAAATCGAAAACAAATCCTTGTACAGTGTGTAGGCCTATTTCTTTACTTTTCGTTGACCTCCGTCTCCTGAGGCTTCTTTCTCACACATTGACCAAGCACCATCTGTGGACCTTCTAGAGGTTAAAGTGTTTGCTTCTCTTAAAATAAATCCCGGGTTCGAATCTGGATAGAGACGAACAATTTTCTTCGCTAAAATGTTTTCCTTTCATATCCTTATTATGCTTTCTGTAGTCTGCTTTTGTCTCCACTTTCTGCCCCCACCCCTTTATCTCCTTTACCCTCTCCTCTGGGCTCCGAGCTCTTTCTGCAGCGGTTCTATGCTACTCCTTGGCTCCATCTTACTGCTGTTTTTCAGCAGCACCCCTGATCTCATGGTATGTTGATTGAGTAGGTGTTTTACGGCAATATCTACTCAGTTTTGGTCATGTAAGTAAAAAAAACAAACATTTTAACTCCACAAATCAAGTACTGTGTTTGAATGACGGACAGACATTTACAAAGGTGTTTGTTAATATGGTAAAAGTTCTATTTACATGTGTATTTACAATATCAATTTCACTGTATAGTTCACACCCACATACACACACACACAAGCATACATGCACACACACACACACACACACACACACACACACACACACACACACACACAC